CCCCTTACCGTCTTACTGTAATGGGTAGTTATCATCGCGTTGTTGTATACGGTCAAATTTAACAAAACAAACTCATCAGCGAATTTTTCCTTCGACACCACCATCCAGCAGTTGTTGATGTCAATATAATGACTATAATAATAGTAATCTCCCATAGGTAACTGGTATCCTTCTTTTCTAACATCAATCTAAATAAACAAAAATGATTATCATGATGATTTTCTTAAAAACGGTTTGCATAAAAAATAAAAACTTCTTAAATGTTCATTAACCATCTGCTCACATACATAAAATGTTGCTTGAACTCTTATTTTTCAAAAGTAATGTATTATTTAAGTAAATTTAAAAAAAAAAAAAAAAAAAAAAAAAAGGATGCAGAGCGAAATTCGACAAAAAAGACATTTCAATGTGTCATTTTAGAAAGGAATAAATGATATTTGTCTTTTGTCTCTCTTATAAAAAACTCGAACTTTAAATGTTAAATATTTAAAAAATGACTTCTTTTCAATTATTGCAATTTAAAAGTCATTCAAAAATTACATGTCGGTCTTAATTGTAATTTTTTTCTTTAAAATATGCGACTCAGTTTCATTTTTTCTAATTCTCAGTATTACATCTGACGAATATATTAAAAATAAGGTTGATTTTTTACCCCTGTTTTAGTTCAATAAACAAGCAATAAGATCTTTTCTTTGGTTTTTTTCATGTTAATGTCTTTAAAAAAAGGAGCTCATAATATTGTAATTTTAAGAAAAGAAATGAAAATATGACATTTACATAGGATTTATTCCCTTTTATATAAGTTCCATGGAATAATTCGTTGCTGCTGTTTGCTAGTAGCTTCAAATGGACTTTATGAATTCCGCTATTTCTATCAAATGCATCTACCTGCAATCTGAAAATATAGATAGTTTTTTTAATATGCAAAAAAAGGGACAATGCAAAAATTTCATAAGAAGACTTTTTTCTTACCGACTCGAAAAGTCATAGGTAGGTGATTTAGTGTTGCGTGTGAATTTCACATCTGAGTCTGCCAAAGCCTCTGGTGGAGTGGAATCAAAGAATATCTTTGTCATGTCTACTTTTTCATTCCCCATGACATCAGTAGCCTTGACCCAGAAATTTATCGCATTTCCATCTTTTCGGTCTATAAAGAATGTTTGGCTTTCTAAAGATATATTTCCTACTGGAGTCCATGACGTGGGCGTCCTGTTGCCCTGGTTTCCATTCCTATGGAAATAGTCAAATTTCACTATACCACGAATATTTGGTATACCTCCCAGCGTTCTATTCCCCGTCTTATCATCCAGTTGCTGTGGCACCTGTTTTTCGTATTTTGTCATATGATCAAAATGTTGATAATGTGAAACATTATTCAGAAGTTTATTTGTATCGTGAAATTTGTTTTCAAAGTGTCCTTTCCATGACACTGTAATGTTATTTTTTAGATTATTTTGCCACAAATAGTTTGTCTCTGGTTCAGCACTTGTGGCAATGAACGGTGAGGTCGACAGAGTGATGCTTGATGAAGGATCATACAAGACCAAGGTGCGAGCGTACTGTGTATTGTTAGCATTGTCTATCACGTTTAAAATAAACGAATACATCCCTGGCTGTGGAGGCGTGTAGCTATATCTCGACTCTGTCACACTGAATGGTTTTTCTTGAAGTGGGTTCCAGGGATATGGTTCAGAAAGATACGTTGTATTCGGTTTAAGCAAATAAACCTGTAGTTTGTACCCTTTTAGTCCTGAGAGATCATCCATCCAGTTGTTCCAAATCAATTTTATCGGGGACTGTCGTATAAAAAAGAATATAACAAAAAAATTAATATAATTATTTTAAGCCAAACTGTTAGAGAAGTTGAAACCGATACAGAAATTAATTATTTAAAAACATGGTAGTTTATCAGTTCTGATATACTGGTATCGAACTAGTTTAGACAGTGCTCTTTTCATTTTTTTGTAACTTTAAAGTAAGATTTGTATTAAGAGCATGTCTCATAGAAAAACATGTAAAATGGTCCAGTAGCAAGGTTCTCCAATTGCCTTCAAATTTTGCAAGCTAAATCTAGTATGCATGAATGGAAATTGGACAAATTTTTATTGTGCCAATCATACTGGTATACCTTATATGACCTGTTACTAAAAATAGCTCTTATGCAACAAAATCTCAGGTCATATTTGATACTTTTTAGTCATATTTGGAGAAGAATTAAAACTGCAACTCTCAATATTATCAAAATATTTAATTTTGAAATAAAAGAACACAGGTTAGTTCTTCTAAAGTGCATAGTAAAAATGACTGACATCCATTTTGTTTGAGTGCAAAAAGGTCATAAAATTGGCAATGTTCCATATTTTTGAAAAAATGTCAATTTTCTAATAAATTGAAATAACACTGACTGCCAAAATGGAAATTTTAATCTAGTAAATTTTACTGCTTATTGTTAAGGATGATTATGTGAACAAAATATGAAAAAATTGCTGATGGCAAATTTAAGCTTTAGTATTCATTGAATGTCAAAGTAAGTTAATTTTTCACACTCAAGGTATCAAAAATACTTAAAGTGTTATACATAAAATACTTCAAAACATTTTTTAAAAATGTTTCTGTGGTAACATTCATATCTGTATTTTAAAAATTAAACATATAAATTACAGTTCAATAGATAACACCTCTATAAATCAAAATAATCCATTAGAAAGGGGGGGGGGGTGGTGTTACACACAATATTATGAATCCCCTTTCATCTCTTAAACTTAAAATGTAAGGAAAACAATATTGTAAATGTTTTAAGTAAACAAAACCAAACTTCTGTAAAAATTAATAAGTTTGATTATTTTTCAACATCTTTTGAATATGATAGCTCTCCTAAAATAGAATTCAGTAAACAAGTGCATAAAGGTCAAAATTAGCATTGTGATCTCTTATTCTACAATATATGGTATGTAATACATGAACTTCATGTACATAATGTTGGTTAGAGTAAACACACTTAAAATGAATTCATGTTTACAGTTACTGTAGTTAATTTCATTCTCTGTTGATTCCAAAACATGTTACACTGTATTGGGAACTAATTACTTTTATAATGATTCATACATTCTTTGATAGAAGTCATATTGTGATGTAGAAACAGAGTTTATAAATTAAAAAAAAATTATTTTGATATCCCATCAAACTGAAAATACTCTAACAATCAGAATTCTAACATTTTAATGTACATGAAACTTTTGATCATAATGTAAGAATGTCAAAATCAATTCCATGGTTAAGTATATTGGAACCTTTAATTTCCAAGGTTCTAATTCTTTTTTTTTGGGGGGGGGGGGTAATTTTCAATGTATTTGGGGCATGGAGAGACCCACAAATTTATGACTATCATGAAATATAAAATTTATATGCTTAATTACTACTCAACACTTCAACAACTGCAAAATAAAATCAAAATCCCCACATATCAATATTTTTTTCTGAATCCTCGATTCCTCTCTTTCAAAATATGTGATTATACAGGTTATAAACTTACTGAATATTTACAGATGTAAACACATCATTCACCATACCAGTCATTTGATCTTCATATTTATTCGAGTCTAAAGCAGAAACAATCTCTGCAAGTTTTTCATCCTCATCAATACAAACATCTTCAAAACACCTTTCAGACAACAATTGATTTTTTACAGAAGGAGGTACAGAGACACTCTTAGATTTTAATGACAAATACATGAGGCAATATATCCTCTTTCTTGTGAAATATTTAGCCATTTGTCTTTCTTAGAAAGTCTTTCACCATTTTTATCAGTTACTTTCTTCAGCTCATCTGCCAATGAGACACTATCGGGGCATTTTCCTGTTCTGTCACATTCTTCACATATCATGCAAAAGTAGTCCTTTTCTTTCTTGGAGAATTGTATTGCTTTCTTATGCTCTCCAGTGCCAAACCCATGCTTTCTCCTGTTGGCTCTCTCTGGACTCCATCATCAACTCTACCTGATTTGACTGTTTGTATCAATAAATTTTGAGACTCTCTAATGCTTTCACATTTTGTAGCATATAAATTTGCTGCAGTGTTCCTACTTGATCTTGAATTTCTGTAAGACTGATTTCCAACTCCCAGAAGATTTTCGTGATTGCAACATTTTGAAAATACTTTCTGTTATGATGAGTCCTGACAAAGGTAATACATGTATTGTTCAGTATTAATCTCTGTGCTTCCAGCAGAACTTTCATCTGTAAACTGCTTCATATTTCCCTTGATCAGTAGGCTCAAGGTGTTGGGTAAATGAAACAGCTCCACTCCTGTGATCCTCCTCTCTTAGAAAACCCTGTATTACCTATAATATGAATTAAAATGAACCATAAGAAATTTACTTTAGATGAAGGTGGTGATTTATTCAAAGACTAATTATTTAGTGTACTTTTCATAATAGGACCGTTTACGGTAGCCTAGTGGTAGAGCGTTCCCTTCGTGATCAGGAGGTCTGGGTTCGATTCTCGTTCCCGGCGCCATGTCGAACCTAAGACGTAAAAATAGGTAGTGACTGTTCCTTCACAAAGCGCTCGGCATCAGAAGTGAAAGTCATGGGTCTTTCGGATATGACCTTAAAAATGTAGGTTTCTCTGTCAAGATAACCGCTGGCACGATAAAGAACCCTCACTGCACAATGGCCCTGAGTGCCGAATATAGGTCTAAATTTGAAGCCCTTCACCGGCAAACGGTGATGTCTCCATATGAGTGAAAAATTCTCGAGAAAGACGATAAACAATATATACATTCAATCAATCATAATGACAGGATGAATAAATATGTTGTTGGAAAACAAACCACTTTAAGTACTTCATTGATCTTGTACTGCATCATGAAAAAAGTGCCCCAGTGCTTTTAGAATAAATTTGAGAACTGACCTCTTTTGAAAAAAAACTTTACTTTCAGCGTTTTTTTTTTCCTTATATAACTGATAACGGTAAACAGCACCGTTCCCAATGCAAACGATATTTTTTCCCAATTCTGTGACTAAAAATTCCCAATTCAACCGTGAAGCAAAAGATTACGACGACATCGGATTTCTTGTTAAATGAAACATTGTACAAGTTGACTAATTGTTTCACTTCCGCTTAAATCGAAAGTAAAGAAAGTCGTAATTTGGCGGGAGCAGTGGTTTAGACAGCGTAATGTCATACATTTTGACAAATTGAAAGCATGACAATGTGAAAACAAGGGACGTTGATATAAAAAACAATAAGTATTTGTTGTTTATTCTTTAAAACAAGCAGTAATAGGTAATTAAGTTGAAATAAACGCATAATACGTTGCATTTGCATAAATAAAAGAAAATTATCCTTTGTTTTTCTTCGATGCTATTTTTCCCAATTGAACCGGTACCGGACTCTTTCCCAATGGGTGGAAAAAAATCGCTGACTTTGACTTAACAATGTTTACCTACCACAATCCCAATATATCATATGTCATGACATGTGACTTTGTAAACGGTTAAATTACAAATTAGAGGATAATTTATGGTTTTTTTTTTTTTATTTTGATGAACAGTGTTGCCATGGTTAATAAAAAATAGAAATTTCTGTGAAATACTTTCAAAAGGCTATTCTGAATACAGTTTTAGTCTGATTATAATATAACGTGGCATGTAAATAGACTACACAGAGAAACATAAGGCCAAAATAAAATTATAGTTTGTCTGGGATTGCCTCCCGCCTCATTGAAATGCCCCCCTCCTGAAAAAATTTTATTGACCAAAAGTAGGAAGATTTTTTTTTAATTAATCAATTTTTTTTGCCCATTACATGTATCACACGCACCATACAAAACACTGAAATATAGTATCAGATCTAGGTATTTTTGTTCTGAGATTTTTATCAAAAATTTATAATTTATCTTCAATTAAAAAAAAAAAAATAATTTCCCTCCCTCCCTCCTGTGTCTGAAACCCTCCAGGCGGCAATTCCAAACAAACATTTTTTTAAGGATGGCCTAATTGTTATTTTTGTTTTTTCATATTGATGAATGATTTTGTCACAGTAACTAAAATTGATACTTTTGTAAAATTTTATAAAAGCAGCTCCTACAGTTGTGGTTTTATTGCAATCTTGCCACAAAAAGAGGCTTTATCAAGAATCATTATTCTATTTATTGCACGTGTAAAATTTCAAGACCCAACTGCTACTTTTTTCTTCCTTTGTCTGTTTGTTATAAGTACAAACTCATAGAGCTACAGTCTCAACAGAGGCTTTTGGTTTGTTCTGTTACATGTATGTTGACTATTACAGAGTATCATAATATAAACAGGTATTACATGTACTATAAATTATAGTTATGCATTTTGGACAGTTCTTTTAAAATCAACTGGCCCAGTGGGATAATAAGAGTATTGAGTTATTAAAAAATCAAGGTGATAGCCTAAGTGACAAGTGAAAAATATAATTAATAATTTTCTAGCCCTACACTTTACCATATGAATTTGCTTCAGGGTTTTCTCTTCTGATTTGGTTGGATCCAATAAATACTGCAGCACATGGACAACTGTTGCTATAAGATAGAATTTTAATCAATTGTAAATAATGTATAATTCAAGAGAGGAATGATAAAATATATGGGAGATGTTTAAAACCTCTATAATACACCAGGTGTACTAGCAATCATATACTGTCTATAGTACATGTACATGCTAAAATTTTTAGTATAAACTTTATAAGTGGCAGTATATTTTTATGATTTTTTATCAATGTTCTTGATTTTCAAAATATCATCAATTTGAAAAATTTATAGGCACTCAATTTAATTTTGTATAAATCTTTATGTAATTATGGTGATGAAATATTTGTGTGATCAACTCAATTTTAAAAATTTTCCTTGCATGTATTAAAATATACCTATTTCCTCTTCTAAAACCACTGTCATACTCCTTGGTCCAAACTCATTACTGCCTATGAGAAGCACACTGCTTGCACAATTCTTCAATTTTTTAGAACTTGTATTACATGTACATGTACTTCTAAAAAAAAAAAAAAAAAAAAAAAAAGATCAAACAATTGTTTAATGTGAGCCGAGTTTATACCACCTGTCCTCCTCCCCTATCACAATCACTTGTAAAATAGAGAACAAATACATTCATTATTTTAACTTCCAACTGAAAATTCTTTATCCTACCTGATCCAACTGGTATATTGTCTCCCTCATTTTCAACCAGTATTCTTTACAAAAGGTAGGGGTAGCCCATCGGTCTGCTTTTGCTTTCTTCCTTATGATCGGGACGGCAGCACCTTGACTTACTTCTTCGCCATTTTAATCCTTAATTGTCTTTGACATACTTATAATTTTATTGTGCTAGTAGTGTCAATGGAATACCATTTCTTTAGGCCTACAGAATGCAGCAAAACGATCGCCTCTGGTACGTCATAAATTTTCCATACAACCCAGCTAGGGTATGTTCAGAGATTTGAGTAAACGCAAATGGTTTGACAGATCCTTAGTATATTCTTATAAATGAATTTATTGGACCATCACTGCTTGAAATATTTGAACAATTGCTGAAATCACATTGTTCTTCTGCCCCTGCCATGTTGCAATATCATTTTCCCCCTTTTTTGTATGGAGAGTGCCACTACGGGAGATAACTCTTCAACACACAAATAACACTCATTAGGTCTTTCCACCTTTCTGTGGAAAGACCTATTGATATTCTTCTGTTTATTATTAGGTCTTTCCACCTTTCTGTGGAAAGACCTCTTGAAATGCTTCTGTTTATTATTATTATTTTTCCGTTATCGAAAATTGAACCGAAAGACTTCTCGAAGAACTTTGCAGTTCATGATACTCGCCATTAAAAGTTATTTCGAAAAAATACCCAACGCGTATGACCTATGACCCCTATTGGAGTTCTTGCCCTTTGTATGAAAAACCTTGTTATCGCTACTCCTTCGAAACCGTAAACCGTAGAAATATGAAACCTTCACTAAAGTCTTCGACTAATTGAGAGGACTCTGGAATCTATTCATTGCGAAAGTATTCGGTGACCCCTTCGATGAGTTATTGCCCCCGAAACTTTGTTAATTTTAGAAATAATTAAAAATTTTCAAAACGAGAAGTGATAGAGACATAGGACCAACTGCGAAAGATTCATTGACCTTTGATCATGAAATTCATGCAAAGGTCAAAGGTCAAGGTCATTCCAAATTTGAGAAATTAAGCTCTTTTTATATCTTTTTTGTCTTTTAACATATACAAACTGTCTTAGCATCATTAATATGTACTCTTAAAACTATTTTAAAGATTTAATTCGTATTCCTTAAGATTAACCCTTTTAAAAGTTATCGCCCTTTGTACGAAAAACCTTGTTATTGCTACTCCTTCGAAACTGTAAACCGTAGAAATATGAAACCTTCACTAAAGTCTTCGACTAATTGAGAGGACTCTGGAATCTATTCATTGCGAAAGTATTCGGTGACCCCTTCGATGAGTTATTGCCCCTGAAACTTTTTTAATTTTAGAAATAATTAAAAATTTTCAAAACGAGAAGTGATAGAGACATGGGACCAACTGCATAAGATTCATTGACCTTTGATCATAAAATTAATGCAAAGGTCAAAGGTCGAGGTCATTCCAAATTTGAGAAATTAAGCTCTTTTTATATCTCTTTTGTCTTTAAACATATACTTAATATCTTAGCATCATTAGTATGTACTCTTAAAACTATTTCAAATATTTCATTTTTGTTCCTTAAAATTAACCCTTTTAAAAGTTATTGCCCCTTGTGCGAAAAACCTTGTAATTGCTACTCCTCCGAAACTGTAGACCGTAGAGACACCAAACTTTCACTAATATCTTCAGGATCTTGAGGCATAACTACACTGTATAAGTGCGAATGGATCTGATGACCTCTTATATGAGTTATTGCCCTTTAACGTCTTTGTACTTATTATTAAACCTTATAACTTAGAAACTAAAAGTCGTAGAGGCATGGGGTCAATTGCATTGTGACCCTTGACTTTTGACCTTGAACATTTTCTCAAGGTCAAAGGTCAAGGTCATTTCAACTTTTTTTTAATTTTTCATTTTTTCTTTCCTTTAAGACAATTTTGGTTTCTTATTCATGGAATCTAGTTTTAAGGAGTCAGATATAAAACAAAATTGAAATTCAAAGAAGGTGGAAAGACCTCTTATTGTTCTGTGAACAAAAAGTCTCCTAGTTCTTTTTTTTTATTATTTTTCCGCCGCATGTTTTTTTGTTTGAAGATAAAAGGTTTATAGTTCATAGGAATGTACTCCGTAAAAGATGTTTGCAGTTGACCCTGCGTAAATGAACCTTGACCGCTTTCGAAGTTATTGCCCCTTTCGCAAGAAATGCTTGTTATCGCTACTCCTCAGAAACCGTAAACCGCAGAGGTATGAAACCTTTATGAATGTCTTCGACTAATTAAGGGGACTCTTCAATCTATTCATTGCGAAAGTATTCGGTGACCCCTTCAGTGAGTTATTGCCCCTGAAACTTTTTGAATTTTACAAATAATTAAAAATTTTCAAAATAAGAAGTCGTAGAGACATGGGACCAACTGCATAAGATTCATTGACCTTTGACCTTAAAATTCATGTAAAGGTCAAAGGTCAAGGTCATTCCAAAAATGAGAAAATTAGCTCTTTTTGTGTCTCTTTTGTCTTTCAACATATACTTAATGTCTATGCATCAGTGATATGTACTCTTAAAACTGTTTCAAAGATTTCATTCTTGTCCCCTAAGATTAAACCTTTTAAAAGTTATTGCCCCTTGTGCGAAAAACCTTGTTATCGCTACTCCTCCGAAACTGTAGACCCTACAGACACCAAACCTTCACTAATGTCTTAAGGGTTTTTAGACCTAACTTCATTGTATAAGTGCAAAAGAATCTGATGACCCCTTATATGAGTTATTGCCCTTTAACTTCTTTGTACTTACTATTAAACCTTATAACTTGAAAACTATAAGTGGTAGAAGCATGGGGTCAATTGCATTGTGACCCTTGACCTTTGACCTTGAATATTTTTTCAAGGTCAAAGGTCAAGGTCATTCTATTTTTTTTTAATTTTCATTTTTTCTATGCTTTAAGAGAGTTTTGGTTTCTTTTTCATGGAATTTAATTTTTAGGAGTCAGATACAAAAGAGTTCAAAGAAGGTGGAAAGACCTCTTATTGTTCTGTGAACAATAAGTCTCCTAGTTTTATTATCTTTCTTTATCAATTTTGGTGAATATTTCAAACTTTCATGAAGGTTTTAATTTTGATTGTCTTTCTCAGCATTTATTTACACTAAAATAAAATTATTAATCATCAACTGAAGAAATATTCATTACATATGAACAATTTTAAGATGCAAATGGAGAGCTTGGCTAACATCGTAAGGTCATAATTTCCACCAATTATTTGTTATATGTCCCATTAAAAGCCATCAGTGAATTTTTTATATTTGATAGAACATAAATAAATTATTATAAAGCACATTATTAGATCAAATTATTTTCTCCATTTAAGCTGTACCATTGCACTAAACAAGGATAATAAATCTAAAGTTCTAAATTTAGCATTACTCGTTGCTCGATCATAGAATACATATACATGCAATCATTGTGAAAAATAAATATTTTTCATCTTTGACATATATGTGTTGATGATATAATAAATATCTGGCATTGCAAAAATTTTTCAATTGATTTTGCAAGGTCTCAAACTTTCATATTTGCACCTACTATTTTATGCCAATTTTTGCTAAATATAGAAACAGGGCTGTTACTAAAAATAGAAACACGCGGCACACTTTCCAAATTTAAATTTTAGATCCACAGACAACCTAGACCTTAAAAATATATGATAAAATGAATAGTTTTGTAGACCCTCCTGGACGATTTTTCAGATTTTGCATGTTTTTCTCTGAGACACGCTCTTAAAATAAAAAAGAAATAGATTCTGAATATACAGGTAGTTCGAATCTGAAGTTGTATAAAAATATTTTACTTCAACATCGAGAAATAGTTTTAAAGATGCGAAGTTATCGCATATGTGAAATATCGGAATATTGTTGACAGTTTGAAAACTCATGTATCAAAGAAATATTTTACACGAAAGAAAATGAAAATAATTATGTTTTATAGAACCTTTGTTATATCTTCTGTTACATCCAAAGCTTTTTCTGAGCAGTTTCTCTCTTGAAGGCAATGACGCGGTTTCTTGAAGTCAAAACGAAACATTGTTGATTTTGTGCTACTTTGGCCAATGAAAGGATCCTTCTTTAACTGAGTTCCTGGTCCTTCAAGTTCTCGATACCCTCCGTTTTCAGCAATAACAGTTATCGTTAAACTGTTTAAGTACAGTAAAATATAATTGGATTTTTGTAGAAGGTAGCATCTGAATAACATCCATATAACAAATCCTATTATAGGCCAATTAATCAAAATATCCATGAAAGCTTAGTTTAAAAAAAATGGAAGTCATCTTTATTAATTATGCGTAAATAATTTGATTTTTGGTTGTAACGTGTCATTTGACTGTTAAGGGAGAAATTGTCTTGTTTCTTTACCTGATAATTGAGAAATGAATTATCAGGATTTAATAAAATAGCAACCTACATGTAAGTTATACTGATACAACCTGGGTTGGAGCAGTTTGAACATCCCAGTTTGAAAAAGGCGTTAATTGCTCCAACCTAGATTATATCATTACATGTATATAACAGGTTGCTATTTTATTCAATACTTAAATAATTATCTAAATGCTAATTTTTTATTACTTGTCGCCGTTTTCCAATAGCCTGTCAAAGTTTTCATTTGTGAAGTTGCACTGAAAAACATCGTCGTTTGGATGAAGTGATCCGGGTTGGTAATTACAGTTTTTGATCTCATTTTTGCTCACATAAGGTTTGTTTTGATCTAATAAAGTAAAGAAAAAAATGTCAGTTTTGCAGATACGTTAACTTCACATTTTATTCATACTACCCTCCGATTTCAATATTTTTTCCAGGGAAGTCTGAATGGAAGGCTTATACAAGGGAATTTGAACATTTTTTCTCAAATATTAAAGAAGAATAAAAGTAGAAAGATAATATAAAATAAATAATTCTAACATTTGAAACGAATCGAGACTAGTGACTACTCAATATTATATTACCCTTTCTATCAACTTTCCATAATTCAATTTGAATTTTTCCTGACGTAATTCCAAATTTGTACCCTTTGACATATTCTGGAACTACCAGATTCTCCGGTCCTGTATAAAAGGCGGCAAATGTGACGTTTATGTAATTGTAATCCTTTTGACTAAGCCATAATGTATCTACTCTTGTGGAGTTTGGTTCGGATGAATCCGTTATAAAGCGGTAGCGTTCTATCTTCTGTCCAGTTCTTTCAATATTAGCAAGAACGGACGTGCATTGAATTATTGTTGGACGTCTTTCTGAAGTCACTGTAAGTAACTCAAATAATTTAATGATGATGGGGATAAAATAATGGTATAAATAATGTGTAAAACATGCAATGCTAGTACCAGTGAATTTATAAAAATTCATGAAATACATGAAGCTTAGCGTAATATGTGTGATAAAATTACTGACACATATGAATATTTTATATTTTGCATAATTCAGCACTTTATACAATCACCATGTATTTGTTGCTTATGTACATAGTTTTTCTTTACTGTTAAAAAGATTCTGCTATATTTTGACCATCAGCATTTTTTGCAAACAAAAAACTTTTCCCCATTATTACTTTATCACAATGTTATTCATAGTCTTTTTATGCTATTGCATCTCGATTTAAAGACAAATTATATCTTCGACATTTTTTTTAACCTACGTTCCCTGCATCGCTGAATTCCATCCAGACCAGAAAACCCTTGATAACATTGACAAGTTACAGAATCATTACCACACGTACCAGGAAAGCATGGAGAATGATAGGAGCACTTGGCTGTAAAAATAAAATCACAAGGTATTTTACATTAATTACCATGCCCAAACTTCAAATCGTCCTCTACCATCATGCTAGACTTGAATAAATAGACCTATGTATAGTTTTTGTAAGATTAGTTTTGCAATAATATACTTATTCTACATGCAATAATTTCTAAAGAAAAAATTAGCTTGTATTATAAAAAACTAACGTGTTTCGCAAACAGGCCCCGTATAAGTCTCGTCACATGAACATACGTCAGGGTAAATGCATGTACCATTATTCAGGCAAGGTTGTTTACAAACAGCTGAGAACAAAATATCATAAAGTAATTAATATGGTATATCATTTAATATTTCTTTAAAAAAATATCAATCTTGCTGTCATTGAACATTTTTATTCTGTCGACTTAAGTCATTATTTGGAAAGCTAAATGATGATTGAGTAGATAAAATACCCAATTGCAATTAAAGCATAGATTTTGAATGTAGAATAGATTTCGTTTTTTAATTACATCTGACACAACTTTTTTATGTAAAGAAAAGTTTTAAATTTAGCAATTCCGGAAAAATGAACTTAATCTATTTCGTATCAGTGACGCGTACATTCATATAAGAATATGCACGTGTATATTTATCAACATTAAAGAAATACGTACGATCTCCACAGTCACTTCCTCGATAGGTATTCGGAGGACAAAGACACTGTCTTGATTGGGAACAAGTCCCTCCATTCTTACATGACGCGATACAAATGGCTGTGAGTGAAAAATAAACTCAATAATGAGAAAAAGAACATGTGAATTTATCCTTTTTTTTCAAATATGAGCCTGGGGAGCTTGAGATAATAGATACCACAGAGTCTGAAACATTTATTTCATACCTGGATATTTTACTTCTAAAAAAGCATTAGTGGTAATCTAACAACTAAGTTCTACATGTATTATAAACTTGATGACTTTGAATTTTCTATCATCTATACTTCCTTTACTTATGCAGCAATATACCTTAATCACCCGCACACGGAGTTTATATATCTCAGTTGATTCGACTCGCAAGAGTATGCTCTATGTATGAACAATAAATTCTAAAATAAGGTAAATAATTGACAGGCAAGTTGATGAAACAAGGATTAGAACAGTCTCCGTTAAAGTCATCATTTCGTAAGTTCTTTGGTCGATACAATGACTTTGTAAGCAAATAAAATTTATAATTGAGTCAACGGCTGACTGACGTTTTTCACACTAATTGTAAATCCATTATTTATACACTGAAGTGAAGACGGATTTTTCCTTTATTTCCCAATCATGACAAGGAGCACAAGGCGGATGTAACTGGTAAGCCAGTGATACTTCCTCCTCCATGGCACCTGGTCCCACCTCTAATGCTTTGGAGATCCGTTTTTGATCTGCTCCTGTTTTGTATTGTTTTTTAGACTTTTGATTTTGAATAATATTAATAATAATATTCGTTATCTCTATATTTTCCCTTTCACGTAAATTTCGTGGTTACATGTAACTCTAGCCCAAGTACATGCAAAGTATTAAACTTTTTGTACTATAAGTCATGAAATTCAATATTAGTATGTTGTAGCTTTATATTGATTCGATTTCACCGGAGGAATAAATATTTTTTTTATATTTACTTTAAGGCGAAGTCTTGCAAGTAAATTATAATGAATTATGATATAATTAATTATGATCAATATATTCAGCTACAAAGGATAGATTTTCAGTACGTTCTCAGGGTATGTTGTCTAATGTGGTCTATTTAAGTAAATGATAAAAAGAAAAAATATATTTACCTTTCGAAGTTGTCTTAATTTTAAACACTTGTCAAAATCAAATTAGTTTAGCTTTAAAATAATTTTTTTTTTCCTTGAAAGAGCTATCAAATCTTTGAATACAATTACAATCTACTGCGTCTACATTTTCCCGAGGGGGTTGCTTATCAGAAACGGATGTGATTTTAGAAATTAAATGTTTAAAAATATGTTGGTCAATCACTTACGAATATTGCATCCCGGACCAGTGTACTTGCCCGCTGGACAGTTACATGTATTCGGACTGACACAACTGCCTCCATTCTGGCAAACAGGGTTACAGATAGCTGAAAATATTTACAACTGCCATTATATATTCATGTTTAAGACAATATTAAAAATTACATAACTTAAATTGAATTTAAAATTTCTATAATTATAAATTTCAAACATCACTATCTTACTATATTACTCGATATTTTGAAAGTTATTATTCACATGAAGAAATAGTTTTTTTTTTAAATCAGGTTTTTCCAAAAGGATATTATATGTGAAACATGTCTATATATTAAAAACATAGAATTACGTGTCTCGCAAAGTTCACCAGTGTACCCCGGGTAACAAGAGCAGAAGTTAGGACCTTTACAGGAACCAAACTTACATTTAGGACTGCAAACAGCTGTAAACAAAAGGTAGAAACATTCACACTCAGCTACAAATTAAAGCAAATCATAACAAAAACTGTTTACAAAAGTTATCCCTAGAAAAAGTCACAATTCTTAATTGCAGATTCTCTAGATTTTTGTTCTTTTCTAGACTCATCCATCTTTAAATATATAATGCTCGATGTTCTAAATTTAGGTAAGAATTTCTTAAGTAATTGACTAACATTTCCACTATAAAGCAAATCTGAGAGAATTATAAAAGCGACATTTAATCATAAAAATAAACTAAAAGAATATAGAGATACAAACGAATTTCGCATTCTCTTCCTTGATAGGTACTAGGACAAACACACTGTCTTGATTTTGAACAAGTCCCTCCGTTCTTACATGACGGATCACAAATAGCTGTTAATTATAAATATTCTCGTTCAAACAATTTATTACGGTTGATAATCGGCATTTAAATATCAACATGTTCTTCAACGTCTATTTATTATAGATATATTTAAGTGATATATATATTATAAGTAAACAACAAGTGATATTACTCATAGTTTTCCATTCAATCACTTAAAATGTGATCAGACAATTTTGAAAACATTAAAAGGAAACACAAAACGAAAGGGAATACATTAAACAGAAAACTTTTATTAAATTAAGGATACTGATGTCTTTCAATCGACAATATAATAAAATAAAAGAGGTCCAAGGGCCTTAACAGTCACCTCAGTATTATACATCAATTTTGAGGATCAATAAAGTATTAGATAAACAAGCGAATGAAGTTTTGTTGCCCAAAAAGCAAGATCGGGGTAAGGATCAGCAATAAACAAATGATGTGTCTAGTATTCACTAACAACTCATAAATTAAGTTCTTATCCGTCCACCGCTTATCATTATCACAATGTATATTATTGACAAACTACTGGTGCCTCTGTATTATTCTTAACGCCATTTTATTTCCTCTCAAATTAACTTCTCAGAGGCTTAGAAGAAAAAATATTCAATAGTTTATGGCCGATTAAGATGCACCAAGACAGACGCAAAGAAAGAGAGCAGTAGGTCACCTGAGAGATTCGATTGATTTAAAAAGCTAGCTATAAAAAACAAAAAGCACAAGATCATATTAACATATCTGTTGTCTAGTATACTAGGATTTTTCATAATATTTTTGAATCACTCCAGGTTACATGTAGTAGTATATAGAACTTGTAGCTAGGACCTGTAGTAAGGGTTTATAAAGCTGAAAAGGATTTTGTTGCACATTTTTGTAATTTATTGATTTGTTGAAAGTATATTTCTTTACTTCCACCTCAATTAATTGATTAATTGCATATTGTTTAACGTCCCTCTCGAGAATTTTCCTCCGTGGCATCTAATCCCACCTCTAATGTTTCGGAGGTCCGTGTTTGCTCCTATTTTGTGTTGTTTATGGACTATCTTCATATCCTTCGTTCACTCATATGTAAACACCATCACTTGAAGGTGTGGAGCTTCAAATTTTGTGCTATACTCGGCATTCAGGGCAATTGAACACTGAGAGATCTTTTTATCGTGCCAGCATCTAAAGGGACACAGGACCTTGTTTTATACGGTTTCATCCGAAGGACCAGTCTCACAATGGGATTCTAACCTGCGACGTAAGGATCGACTCCTTATTTTGCGACTCTAGAACAGACGCTCTAACCACTGCAAAACAAGGGCGACACTTCCTATTCGAGAATTGTTCATACACATAGAGATTTCATCATTAATTACCGACAAAGGTCTTCAAATTTTGACTCAACTCGGCACTCGATGCCATTGAACAAAGAATCTATTTCTTGCCGACGCCTACCGTTGAGTCTTTAAATATGTCTTCTCAGGACACCCAAATTTACTTCAATGTGTTGAGCGCTTAGAGAAGGAATATCTGATATCAATTTTTATAGGCTCAGCCTCGACCGGAGTTTGAACACATTTCCTTCTGATTAAGGAGCGACTGCTGCAACTGAATAACCCTGACGCACTATTTTCAATAATTTTTTGAGCGCAAAATCACATGAGTTAATTAAAATTTAGTTATATAAAAAGTTGACTTACTCGACAGTAATTAGGTTTAAAATGAGATACACATGCATGTGTACAAATTGGTAACACCATATTTGGGTTAAGATCTTTTTTTCAAACGTTAAGCTGATTGGAATGCGGGAGTTATATACTGCGCCCAGTTACCAGCAACCTTAAACATCCAAAATTGATGCTATATGGAAAAATACATGTATTATAATGAGTCTAGTTGATCACTTACGTTCTTTGCATCTCAGACCACTGTACATTCCGTTTGGACAACTACATGTATTTGGACTTACACAGGTGCCTCCATTCTGACAAGCTGGATGACATGTTGCTAGAAACATGTAAAACCATTATGTTTAGCATGTTTGACGCATTATCCAGAATTCTTAATCAAAAATCAATTAAAAATTTTTTGTTACTAATATATTGTAATATAATTACTATAATATTTTGAAGGTTCTTGGTCGCATGAGTAGTTCAAAGCAAAATATTTTCTCTAGGATTTGATTAGGATACCTTTAAAGCTAGTACTGTGAAATCACAATTTTTTACGGAGGGTTAATTGTATCCCCCGCTTGAAAAGCGGGAGGGTATATAGTAATCGGTATGTCCGTCCGTCCGTCTATTTGTTACGCTTTGGGATACCTATCTCTTATCCGCAACCTCTCTCAAACCACTGAATGAAATTTGATGAAACTTTCACAGAATCTTTATTACATATTGTCATTGTGCACCTTCTATTTTACTGTTTGATCTGACACATATTTTTGGTTTCCCACAACAAAACATGGACACTGCCATTATATTCATATGGAAGGCGGGGGTATCATTTAGTGAGCTCATTGCTCACAGTACCTCTAGTTTTCGTTGTTTTCGAGGTATGAGATGACCCAAAAATTCATGTCCACAAAAAAAATAACATGGTACATACATAAGTACTCATTTATTCTTGATCCACAAAATCAACTCCCCGCTAACAGATATTTTCCTTAAACCACGAAAATTTGACCCCACGGAAACATGTGATTTTACAGTATATGTATATATTTTAAAACATAAAACTTACGTGTATTGCAAAGACTACCAGTGTATCCCGGGTAGCAAGAGCAGACGTCAGGACGTATACAAGTCCCAAATAGACAGCCGGACCTACAGACAGCTGTAATTAAAAGTTAGAATTACTCACACTCAGCTAGAAACGAAATCTCAAATCCATACAAAGTGTTGTTTAAAAAAATCAGAGAAAGCCCAAGTCTGAACTAAGATAAGATTACCTTTAGGACATGACAACTTAATAATAACTAATTTAACTTCTTAGGTATCTAAATTGAGTTCGATAATCTTAAATAAGTTCAAAATTACATAGTTAGCAAACATTTTCAATTCTGAAAGCGTTAAATGAGTAGCATTATTAATATATTTATCAAAAATAGCATTGCATAAACATAGAAAGATACGTACGATCCCCACAGTCACTTCCTCGATAGGTACTTGGACACTGACACTGTCTTGATTGGGAACAAGTCCCTCCGTTCTTACACGACGGAGTACAAATGGCTGCAAGTGAAGAATTCACGTTCAGAATTCAGACGTTAAACATTTTTATTATGTACTTTTAAATTCTATTTAACAAAGATATAGAAATGACCCGTGAAATTACACGATCGATCTCAAAAATCATCTTAGTAAATTTAGAGTTGCAAATAAAAAGAATAGGGAACGAGATGCATTTTATTTAAAGAAAAAATTGGTTACAAAAATAATTTCATAAAGGACAAAGAATGTTTACCGCTGAATCTGGCCCCTTATTTGATATAAAAATCTAAACACAGTTAAAACTGTAATAATTTGTAGTTAAGAGCTCAATTTGATGGTCTTTTTGTCCCCCGCTTGAAAAGTGGGGGATATTAATTTGGGTTTGTCCGTCCGTCCGTCCGTCTTTCTGTCTGTCTGTAACGCTTTCGTTTCCACACGATATCTCGAGAACCCTTGAGCTTTTGCAATGAAATTTAGCATAGCAACTCCCTATGGACTAAAGAAGACCCCTATTGATTTTGAGGTCAAAAAGTCAAAGGTCAAGGTCATAAATAAGCAAATTCTGTCTGTGAAAACACTTTCGTTTCCACACGATATCTCTAGAACCATTTGAGCTATTGCAATGAAATTTTACATAACAACTCCCTGTGGCCTAGTGAAGACCCCTATTGATTTTGAGGTCAAAAGGTCAAAGTTCAAGGTCGAAAATTTATACATTCTCTCTGTGTGTAACACTATCATTTCCGGGCGATATTTCAGGAAGATTTTGAGCTTATGCAATGTAAATTTTATACCAAAACTCCCTAGGACCTCTCTCGCCCCTCTCAAAGTGCCCCGCCCCGTTTGTTTTATTAGTATTTATAGTATTACATGTCGCTATTTTTAGCGCAGGGGCATGAGGCGAGTTATTGCGCATGAAACAGGTTATCGGCGGACTTTATGTTCTTGTTACATCTATTAGAACTGTTTAATAAAGGCTAAATAAATCAAACACCATGGATTGTGTAAAATTTTGAGAATACCGAACATGAATATATACATGTATGTGACTTCAGTTCTGCATATACTTCACGCTGTGTAAAGCGAATCCGTGGTCTAGTGGTTGCGTCTCTCGCTTCACATGTGAGAGGTCCCGGGATCGGATCCCGGTCGATCCTTTCTTTTTTCTTTTCTTTTTTTTTTTTTTTTAAATACATGTACTTTTTTTTTTTTACTAAATGATAGTATTCAGCATGTGAAATGAAAAATTTATGAGGTTATAAAATCATCATTACAGTGTGATAAATATTCCATATAAAAAGAATCTTCTATACACATAATAAAGAATAAGCAATCAAATCTGTATATGCATATTGACATACATGTATTTTATTTGCCTCAGTATACATGTATACATTTAATAATTCTACAAATTCAGTCAGGGGGATCCGACTTTTTCCTTAAGCGGGGGACACGAATTCTCTGAATTAGCTTGTTAAAACCTGGATTAACCTTGAATGACAGGTTACACAGAGGCCATTAGAGGGTGTTTTCTCAATTTTGGTGGAATTTTGTCAAATTTTAGATACAATCAAACCTGTATTAAGAGACCTTCTAACGGAGAAAGGAAGGAAGGTCACAAACGACAGGTGGTCTCTTAATACAGGTTGCTTATTTTCGCAGTGTTCAAATATGCAATGCTAAAAATATCACGTGTATGTTAAATGTATTTTATAATGTTTATTTCCACTATTTAATAGTTACTGCTCAACTCTAAAATGCTTTTACAATTGTCATGTTAAGAAATAAAAATTTCTTGATCCACGCGAGTCATTTGAATATTTGAAAATATTGAGAACATCTGAAAGTATTAATATTTTTTCATACAGTATAAAAATGCTGCAAGGTTGTTTTTCCCTAATAATAGTTTTTTTTTCTATTTTTTTTTTTTTACATGATAGCCTTTATATAACTTCATATGTTTTGCATATTACTAAGAATTAAAACTGTATCATCATTTTTATTATGAACTTGGAATCAAATTAAATTATATTTATGACTGAAATATTGATTTAACGTATTTTTTTCATTACTGAACTACGAGTCTAATTGCCTGTTTGTGACCAGGTTTAAAAAATCACTTCAATTATCACATGATGTGGGTGCTAGCTAGCTTGTGTTAACATTACCCATTGATGACACAATGTACTTGAATAAACATCTATGATTTGTTACTTGTTAATTAAAGTTATAAACAGGCAGGTTTTCTAGCTGAATATCCATTTGGCCCTAATAGCATAAAATGATATAGGGATCGACCTCGAACGTCTATTTTCCAAAATGGCGCTCGATCACTGGACAGAAAAACATTAAGCTTATGTTTTAGATTTTAATGTCTATTTAATAAATATCAAAGCGTAAGTAAAATTATTCATTTTTAGCTCACCTGAGCCGAAGGCTCAAGTGAGCTTTTCTGATCACATTTTGTCCGTCGTCCGTCCGTCTGTCCGTCCGTCTGTCCGTCTGTCTGTCTGTCCGTCTGTAAACTTTTCACATTTTCGACTTCTTCTCAAGAACCACTGGGCCAATTTTGACCAAACTTGGTACAAAGCATCCTAGGGTGAAGGGAAATTTAAATTGTTAAAATGAAGGGACATACGCAAGGGGAGATAATCAAGAAAAGACAAAAATAGGGTTGGGTCATTAAAAAATCTTCTTCTCAAGAACCACTGGGCCAGTAAAGCTGAAACTTATGTGGAAGCATCCTGGGGTAGTGTAGATTCTAAATTGTTCAAATCATGACCCCCGGGGGAAGGGCGGGGCCACAATGGGGAATCAAATTTTTATATAGAAATATATAGGAAAAATCTTTGAAAATCTTCTTCTCAAGAACCACTGGGCCAGAAAAGCTGAAACTTATGTGGAAGCACCCTGGGGTAGTGTAGATACTAAATTGTTCAAATCATGACCCCCGGGGGAAGGGCGGGGCCACAATGGGGTATCAAAATTTTACATAGAAATATATAGGAAAAATCTTTGAAAATCTTCTTCTCAAGAACCACTGGGCCAGAAAAGCTGAAACTTATGTGGAAGCATCCTGGTATAATGTAGATTCTAAATTGTTCAAATCATGACCCCCGGGGGAAGGGCGGGGCCACAATGGGGAATCAAAGTTTTATATAGAAATATATAGGAAAAATCTTTGAAAATCTTCTTCTAAAGAAACACTGGTCAAGTTATGCTGAAACTTATGTGGAATCATCTTGGTATAATGTAGATTCTAAATTGTTCACATCATGACCCCCGGGGGAAGGGCGGGGCCACAATGGGGAATCAAAGTTTTACATAGAAATATATATTGGAAAAATCTTTGAAAATCTTCTTCTCAAGAACCAATGGGCCAGAAAAGCTGAAACTTATGTGGAAGCACCCTGCGGTAGTGTAAATTCTAAATTGTACAAATCATGACCCCCGGGGGAAGGGCGGGGCCACAATGGGGTATCAAAGTTTTACATAGAAATATATAGGAAAAATCTTTGAAAATCTTCTTCTCAAGAACCACTTGGCCAGAAAAGCTGAAACTTATGTGGAAGCATCCTGGAATAGTGTAGATTCTAAATTGTTCACATCATGACCCCCGGGAGAAGGGCGGGGCCACAATGGGGAATCAAAGTTTTAAATAGAAATATATAGGAAAAATCTTTGAAAATCTTCTTCTCAAGAACCACTTGGCCAGAAAAGCTGAAACTTATGTGGAAGCATCTTGGTATAATGTAGATTCTAAATTGTTCACATCATGACCCCCGGGGGAAGGGCGGGGCCACAATGGGGAATCAAAGTTTTACATAGAAATATATATTGGAAAAATCGTTGAAAATCTTCTTCTCAAGAACCACTGGGCCAGAAAAGCTGAAACTTATGTGGAAGCATCCTGGTATAATGTAGATTCTAAATTGTTAGAATAATGACCCCTGGGGGAAGGGTGGGGCTACAATGGGGAATCAAAGTTTTTTATAGAAATATATAGGAAAAATCTTTGAAAATCTTCTTCTCAAGAACCACTGGGCCAGTAAAGCTGAAACTTATGTGGAAGCACCCTGGGGTAGTGTAGATTCTAAATTGTTCAAATCATGACCCCCGGGGGAAGGGCGGGGCCACAATGTGGTATCAAAGTTTTACATAGAAATATATAGGAAAAATCTTCTTCTTAAGAACCACTGGGCCAGAAAAGCTGAAACTTATGTGGAAGCATCCTGGTATAATGTAGATTCTAAATTGTTCAAATAATGACCCCCGGGTAAAGGGCGGGGCCACAATTTGGAATCAAAGTTTTATATAGAAATATATAGGAAAAATCTTTGAAAATCTTCTTCTCAAGAACCACTGGGCCAGAAAAAGTGAAGCTTATATATATAGAAGCATTCTAGGGTAGTGTAAATTCTAAATTATAGGAATCATGACCCCCGGGGGAAGGGCGGTGCCATTATAGGGAATCAAAGTTTTACATAGAAATATATAGGCAAAATCTTTGAAAATCTTCTTCTCAGGAACCACTGGGCCAAAAAAGCTGAAACATATGTGCCCATGGAAGGATCATGGGTTAGTGTAGATTTCAAAATGTCTAAATTATGATCAGTGGGGTAGGGTGGGGATGCATTATGTATAACAAGGGGGAAATCTGGTAAAGAACAGAATGGTCAAAGCTTCTCAGGTGAGCGATGTGGCCCATGGGCCTCTTGTTAAATGTTGTTTTAATTGACCAACTCTCATTATATAATAAAATTTTTAAATGAAATAAAAGCGTGTCTGTAGTCGTTTTGAACCAAGAACGAAGCATGCTCGACAGAAATTGAAAGTAAGAATCCGAAATTGTGTAGACGTTAAATTAAGGTAAAATTGCTTGAAATTACTAAAAATGCATCTGGTCAGAAAAATCACTGTCGTTGGTCGCGTTAGACAGGTGGTCGTTTAATAAAGGTAGAATATATAGCGAAAAGCGTTGGGGGGATTTTAATGGTCACATAATACAGTGGGTCGCTAT